TGGACCACAGGCTGCCTACAAGCCTTCCCACTGCTGTCAGCTGTGCCCAGAGACGTGGTGCCCATGGCCAAGCATGCGGAACAAGAGCAGGCTGCTGGCACAGGGCAGGGTCCCCCACCAGTGCAGGCACAGCTCTGCCCAGGAGATGCTCCGCTCCAGCAGCAGACCCAGGGCAGCTGGAGATATCAGAGGCGGGTAACCAACCACATTATGGGGGTCACAGTAGGTCCAGACAGGAAAGCACATCCTCAGTTTTGTTTCTTCAGTGCAATTCCCAAGTGCTTTGACACGCTCAGCCTTGCCCAGCTGGTTTCCAGGCCTAGCACGCTCCATAGGATCAGTGATCCATTCTCCATGGAAATAAGGCTGGGAAGGAATGGACCCTTCAGCCCTGCCTGCAGCATCCCCTGTGAGAGGCCTCTGTGCCCAAAATGCAGCCACTCAGCCCCAAACCTTCTGCCTTGGACTCTTCAGTCACTTCTCAGTCCCGGGGAGAAGACAACTCCCAAGTGGAGCACCGAGCAAGATTAAAACATTCCTGCAGGTCCTTGACTAAAGGGCTGTTTTGGCATCACTGCCACCTCCTGCTCTTGCTTATGATCAGGGTCCTTCAAGGAGCCACAAGTCCTGGGATCCAGCCTGGCTGGCATCGCAGGGTGTTTAGTTGTGGTGAGGGGCAGTGAAATGATTAACAGCCCTTGAGCCGAGGGGCAGAGCACCTTGGGAACCTGAGCTGCACGTTGAAACAGCCCAATCCATTGCAGTGCTGGCCCAAGGAAGTGGCCCCCATGCTCTGTGTCTGTAGCTGGCCAAAGTGGTGAGAGACCCACCGGTGCCGGCTCTGCTTTGGCATCACCCTGTCTGCCGCAGCTGGGGCAGCATCAGCACCCGTGGCCCCGGATGAGGAAGCATTCTCCCCGTTCTGCTGGGGTTAGGGCAGCTCCCACACCCCTCCCAGCAGCCCTGTCCCCCCTCCCACGCCTGTCGCACGTCACCCTGTAAACAGGAGGAGTTTCCTCAGTGCTTCACCGGGCTGCAGCAAGCGGAAGTTTCCTGCTATGAGGCACCTCCCAACACCCTCTCTGGAAGTTTTCCAGCTGGTCACAGCCCCACATGTGGGGTGTGGAGAGCTGCTGAGTCACATGCTGCCAGGCCGGCCCCATGGAGACCCACACACAGCTCTGGGGTGCTGTCCTGGACCCCCTGCTTTGCCTGGCCACCGAGATGCAGTAGCCCCAGGGGAAAAGCCCCACTCCATCGTGGTGCTGCTGGGTGGGGGGACGCACAAGCAGCCCCATCGCGGAGGTAGTGCCCCCACTGCCAAGGAAGGGACCTCACTCTCCAGTCGTCCTGCCTGGATAGGCGGCAGGAGCCGCTTCCCACTCTCAGGGCGCGAGCCTTCCGGCAAGGAGACTCTTCTTTGGTCAAAACAGGATTGACCACATGGCTTGACTCAAAAAACATGGCTTGACTCGCTCCAGCTCCTTGACCTGAGTTCACCCAGCCTCTTGGGCCTTCCCTTTGGAAATGAAAGCTCAGTCCATTCCGGTTGCGCAGGCTGGAGGGCAAAGGAGCGCACAGAGCTAAAACCGTGCGGGGGGGGGGGTCCGGGGCCCCCATCCCTCCAGTCCGGGCCCACCCTTGCCACCACAAAATGCAAAGACATGGACAGCAGCTGCCCAGAGGTAGTGGAGCAGCCTCGGCACAGGCAGACCCACCTCAGCCAGAGTCCCGGGCGGTTTGAACTGGGTGGATGCAGATTCACACATAAGGAACCAGATTGCTGAGGAATGAGAGATGACTGAAACCTCTTGGACAGGAACGCTCTGGGCTCAGAAAGCTGCCAAACATGCTTTGGTTATGGACAGGAGCCCAGAACCATCAGGGACAAAACCCCCTGAAATAACAGGCTTGCTGGGGGGAGCGTGAAGCTGGAGCAACCAGAGCTTTGAGGAGCCGACAGCCCAAGCAGAGACTGGCAGGCGGGGAAAGTGCTCGGCAAAGGCTGCAGGAAGGATGATGGTGCTCGGCCTGCTGGTGCTCAGTGTGCAGGAGGTGCCTGGTGGTGACAGGCATGGAAGGGACAGAGACCTCCTGTGCTCCCAGGCACGGGAGGAAGGGACAGGCAGAGCCATCCTGTCCTGGGGCAGCTGCTCACATCCCGCAGGAGCGCCTGGCTCCCCTCAAGCCATGGCCCAGCCCTGTTAAGCAGGGGAAGAACAGAAGAGGAACCGAGGCCCAGATGCACACCAGAGTTTAAGTTTCTGGCTCCGCTTAATAAATCAGGGCATAAAGACCTCAGTGGCAGTGTGACAGCTCTCAGCCGCCACATTTGAAGGCTGTAACCAAGCTGAAAGCTGATCCCAGGTCCCCGGTGGATAAGCCGCTGTGTCATCTCTTCTCTGCAAGAAACTGCCTGTACAACAACCACTATCTTGGCCGGCAAGCTGGGGAATGCGCTCGGGAGCTCCGGTGCGGGAATGTGGCTCCAGGCAGCCAGAGCAGGGGAGCCGGGCTCCTCTCTCCCCACTGAGAGGTTTGCATAAG